GGAATAAGAATGTTGAGGAACGCGCTAAGAAAGGACTAATAGTTCTCTACTCCTGCAAGAACTCCATAGGAAAGAGCTGGGGACTAAGATCAAAGATCATACACTAGTTGTACGTGACGGTCGTACTCCACATTCTTACCTGTAGATGCCGTGTATGGTGGCAGGCAGGTCAACAAAAAGATACTGCTGACAAAATTGAATTCAGTACAGCGATCCTGATTAAAGGAGCGCTATGAAGTACACCGCAGGCAACCTTGAATGTGATCTTGAATCTCCAACCACTGGACACTCTGATTAAATTCCAGGCAGATAGATGTGCTCTGAGGTTCCGAGAAACGGATGCCTGGAAGTCCCTGAACTATGGCCACTCTAGTTTATTCAACATGTCGCCAGGTTGTGACTTCTTGAGGAGAAGTACTCACATTAGTGGTTATGTTCCCTCGCAGTAGGGAGGAATCCTGGACTAGTGGCTCCTTACCTCTGCCAGGTCTGTCATTTTTCACAGACGGGTCAAAGATGGGGGAATGCCACAGGTGCAGGTGTTTACTGTAGAGAATTGGAAATCTACAACTCATATAAACTTAACAATCTTTGTAATGTTTTTCAAGCAGAAATCCTTGCAATCACAAAAGCAGCCGAGATTTTCAAAACACTTACTGCCGATAATACGGAACCGCTGACTATATACGACGATAGTCAGGCGGCCCTCAAGGCTTTAAAGTCGTGCACTGTAAACTCAAAAGCAGTTCTTGGTTGCAATGGACATAGCAATATAGAAGGGAATGAGATAGCCGACGAGCTTGCTGGAGGGGGTTCACAGTCGTCCAATCTTCCGATTGAGAGATCTGTGCAACCACCCATTGGCTATTTCATTGCCGGAATCCGTTTGATCTACGGGGAGGTAGTCGGCAACAGATGGTCAAGAGAACCTGGTTGCAGAATCTCGAAAGCTATCTTGTGGGGATCATAACACTTTACTACAAGATTAGACCCCTCACTTCGAAATGGGACTCCAGCGGAGGGAATTACTGTCGTCTATGCGAGGACGAAGAGGAGCTAGAAACAATTGAACATATCCTCTGTAGATGTCCATCGCTGAATGGCAGGACACACAACTCCATAGGAAAGAGCTGGGGACTAAGATCAAAGATCATACACTAGTTGTACGTGACGGTCGTACTCCACATTCTTACCTGTAGATGCCGTGTATGGTGGCAGGCAGGTCAACAAAAAGATACTGCTGACAAAATTGAATTCAGTACAGCGATCCTGATTAAAGGAGCGCTATGAAGTACACCGCAGGCAACCTTGAATGTGATCTTGAATCTCCAACCACTGGACACTCTGATTAAATTCCAGGCAGATAGATGTGCTCTGAGGCTCCGAGAAACGGATGCCTGGAAGTCCCTGAACTATGGCCACTCTAGTTTATTCAACATGTCGCCAGGTTGTGACTTCTTGAGGAGAAGTACTCACATTAGTGGTTATGTTCCCTCGCAGTAGGGAGGAATCCTGGACTAGTGGCTCCTTACCTCTGCCAGGTCTGTCATTTTTCACAGACGGGTCAAAGATGGGGGAATGCCACAGGTGCAGGTGTTTACTGTAGAGAATTGGAAATCTACAACTCATATAAACTTAACAATCTTTGTAATGTTTTTCAAGCAGAAATCCTTGCAATCACGAAAGCAGCCGAGATTTTCAAAACACTTACTGCCGATAATACGGAACCGCTGACTATATACGACGATAGTCAGGCGGCCCTCAAGGCTTTAAAGTCGTGCACTATAAACTCAAAAGCAGTTCTTGGTTGCAATGGACATAGCAATATAGAAGGGAATGAGATAGCCGACGAGCTTGCTGGAGGGGGTTCACAGTCGTCCAATCTTCCGATTGAGAGATCTGTGCAACCACCCATTGGCTATTTCATTGCCGGAATCCGTTTGATCTACGGGGAGGTAGTCGGCAACAGATGGTCAAGAGAACCTGGTTGCAGAATCTCGAAAGCTATCTTGTGGGGATCATAACACTTTACTACAAGATTAGACCCCTCACTTCGAAATGGGACTCCAGCGGAGGAATTACTGTCGTCTATGCGAGGACGAAGAGGAGCTAGAAACAATTGAACATATCCTCTGTAGATGTCCATCGCTGAGTGGCAGGACACACAACTCCATAGGAAAGAGCTGGGGACTAAGATCAAAGATCATACACTAGTTGTACGTGACGGTCGTACTCCACATTCTTACCTGTAGATGCCGTGTATGGTGGCAGGCAGGTCAACAAAAAGATACTGCTGACAAAATTGAATTCAGTACAGCGATCCTGATTAAAGGAGCGCTATGAAGTACACCGCAGGCAACCTTGAATGTGATCTTGAATCTCCAACCACTGGACACTCTGATTAAATTCCAGGCAGATAGATGTGCTCTGAGGCTCCGAGAAACGGATGCCTGGAAGTCCCTGAACTATGGCCACTCTAGTTTATTCAACATGTCGCCAGGTTGTGACTTCTTGAGGAGAAGTACTCACATTAGTCGTTATGTTCCCTCGCAGTAGGGAGGAATCCTGGACTAGTGGCTCCTTACCTCTGCCAGGTCTGTCATTTTTCACAGACGGGTCAAAGATGGGGGAATGCCACAGGTGCAGGTGTTTACTGTAGAGAATTGGAAATCTACAACTCATATAAACTTAACAATCTTTGTAATGTTTTTCAAGCAGAAATCCTTGCAATCACGAAAGCAGCCGAGATTTTCAAAACACTTACTGCCGATAATACGGAACCGCTGACTATATACGACGATAGTCAGGCGGCCCTCAAGGCTTTAAAGTCGTGCACTATAAACTCAAAAGCAGTTCTTGGTTGCAATGGACATAGCAATATAGAAGGGAATGAGATAGCCGACGAGCTTGCTGGAGGGGGTTCACAGTCGTCCAATCTTCCGATTGAGAGATCTGTGCAACCACCCATTGGCTATTTCATTGCCGGAATCCGTTTGATCTACGGGGAGGTAGTCGGCAACAGATGGTCAAGAGAACCTGGTTGCAGAATCTCGAAAGCTATCTTGTGGGGATCATAACACTTTACTACAAGATTAGACCCCTCACTTCGAAATGGGACTCCAGCGGAGGGAATTACTGTCGTCTATGCGAGGACGAAGAGGAGCTAGAAACAATTGAACATATCCTCTGTAGATGTCCATCGCTGAGTGGCAGGACACACAAACAATTTAAAAGATATGAAATTGATAATCTAGCTTTCTTCTACAAAAAAGACAATCAAATGCTAGACTTTGTCAAAAATCTGACATGGCTAAAATAACCATCTTTTAGGCCCTCCAACTATTTCGTCCTCTCTTACATTCTCTCTTCTATCCCATTTTCTTTTCAGGGATATAGGATGATCACAATGGACAATTGTCTCTGAGTGAACGGTTGTAATTATCAACCGTACATCCCCAACCTAACCCATATGTCCTCCTTGAAATGAAGATTACTGAGCAGAATACTATAAAATAAAATCAACACGTTAGCCCTCTAAAAAGAAACAACATGACAGGAAATTATCCCTGGAATCTTCCAAATAGACAAATAAATCCCTATAAGAATATTTGCTAGCATGTCTTTCCCAGAAAGAATAAAACTGACCAGAAGTTTTCGAAGACGAAAACTCAAACTGAAATAAATTTATTTAGAGTTACATAAAAATTTAAAATTGTAAATTCGAGATATGTACGACTCTTACAAAGACATATAGAGGTCCAATTTACGGATGATATAAGTGAGTTAAGCTTTCGAAACATTTTTTATTGATAATTTTGAATGTATTTGACGAATTGTCATCAATTAAATTATCATGGATGTACATAATGTAGGGTGATGATTATCTTCGGGAGTACAAATATATGGTATTATTATAGATTGTATTACTAATATATGCTGATTATAAATATGAAGTTGCGATGAACAAGTGACGAATAATTTAAATTTACAAAAATCAATGGATTTGCCGACAAATTCTATATTCTATTGAATTAAGTTAGTGGAATATTTGGCAGCAACTACCATAAGAACGCCACCACATTTTTTTATTAATCCGATCTTTTACTAAATATTTGATATTTTGAAATTAGAACATGTGTTTTAAGCCAAGTTTTTTGAGAGAATAATGCTATAATCAAAGCCAAGGCTAATAGCATATAAACTAGTTTATTTTGTATTTAACAAACATATAATCGGAACAAGTTGAGTTTAGGGGCTCATCTCGGATTTTTCTGAAAATTTTGCCACAGGTAGGTCTCGTCTCCCTGATCACGAAAATATATCACTTTGCAACCATACCAATATTACCTTCATCGATCCATAAATAATGAAGTTATGAGCATATGAATTACGGAACTTCAGAGGTCCATATCTCGGAAATATGGATTTTTTCCCCATGAATGTCATATATTTTCGTAATCAGGAGACGAGATCTACATGTGGAAAAAATTTCAGAAAAATGAAGATGAATGCACTAATATTTTAAATGAAGACCTACTTTCTGAATATGCTGATCGAAGCTTGTAGCAGGAATTGCCCTCAATTTTCGATTTCATATAATATTTTATATCATCGGCGGTAGTATCCGATGCAAATGTGTCTACATTTGCATCGGATACCTTCTTCATGTCTTGGTAGAATTAGTTTTTATTTTCGTTTGAAAATTGTTTCCATATTCCCCCCAAATGTATAATTATTTTTCAATTTCTAATAATGATTTTATCTATTTTTATTTCTTTCTAGAAATTGTGGTCAACAAACACTGACCCTGTTCACTTGTTGTTATTGCGTTTGGCCATCATTAAGAACAACTGACTGACTGACGCTCACTCAATTTGTTTGTCTAAACAATTATTATCAGCAAGGTAAACTTCTCGAAATTTTGTCAATGAATGCTCTTTTGAAACAAAACAAAGCAATTATAAATAAAAAGTATTCTTTTTAAAAATCAAGGTACTTACGGTTCTTTTAAAACGGGAGCAATTTTATATAGACAATCCAAAAACTGTTGATCCAATGACCATACACTCGGCTTTAACGGCTGACTGTTAACATTCAAAATGCGAAATAGAATGCAAAGGATTACCGCAATAGCGGTCAGGAATGCTGTTGACATCGTGATTAAAGTTTGGACTAAGTGCTGGCGGTCAAAGATGTTACCGAGTGCTTGAGGAAATTCCGCAAAGACTTGTTGTAGAAACTGTGATTGTAGTAAACGGTCATAGAGATAAGAACACTGTAACAGCGGATACCAAAGGAACATGCAGGTTGTTTGTGTGTGAGATCGGGCAGGAATAAAGGAGAAAATGGGAAATGGAAAATAAAACAAAATAAAAAAATTGTAACAAAAGAAATTAGATATAAAAAATAATAACGAATAACTAAAAGAACAAAAGAAGAACACAACAAAATTAAAAAGTAGAGGACTTTTTAAGGATGAATGGGCAGGAGCCAAACCGAGGAGTGGGATAATTTATGTAAATGTAAGGTGGAAACTTTGAGGAAACACACCAGCTGTTTGCGCAAAGTTAATAACCCAACGACCGCCAATTGTTGTTTTTGCAATGGTATTTGGAAGGTTAACAGAGAACCACCACATAAACGCACACACAGTAAAGGGGGGAAGATGAGGTGATTGGTGTTTCTTTTTTTTAATTTATAGGATTTTCTGTTGTAAATTGATTTTTTTTTGTTTTTGTTGAAAAGAAATTATACTAGTTTCCAATTACAGCCGTTTTTACATTGCTGTTTTCTTCTGTTATCTTCTTTAGTTTTTGTTGCGGTGACACACTTCAATTTGCTTGCAATTTTTGTGGCGTTGTTTTTGTTATCGTTGTTGTTATGATGTTGTGTATCTCTCACACGGCATGAGTTTACATGAGAGTGTGTGGGTATATGTTTGTTTTTATTTTTTTTATATATGTATATTTTCGTTTAATATATGTATGTTGTGTTTTTCCTTTCTCTCTTTCGTTCGTTCGCTGACTCTCTCACTTACTTTATTTTGTTTCAGTGATTTATGTTGTTTCACCTAATGCGTATTGAAATTGAACTCTTGTAATTTGTTATTTTTGTTCGTTCGTTCCAGAAACTTCGAAAATGTTCTTTTTCCAAAAAAAATTCAAATTTCGTTATGTTGTAAAATGTTCTTTATAGATAGAATAAAAACAAATGTAAATAAACCGCTATGAACACATAAACCGTTAATTTTGTTGTTTGCCAAATATTGTCGTCGTTTGATTATTGTTTTTATATCCACTTGATTGTTTTTTTCGTTTTTATTATTTTGTTGTCGGTTTATTATTTTTGTTTTTTCTTATTATTTTTTCTGTTTTATTTTTATTCTTCTATTCGCGTTTTAGGAGCCGCGTCTTACGTTGGTCTTGTTGTCAGTCTACGAATCGAATGCCTCAACTCTGCTTTGGAAAATGCTGCACCAAACAAAAAGTAGAATACAACGTCGGCGACGGCAGAGATTTACTAACAGCAGAGAAGTAAGTTGTCACAATCAGCTGATTGGGCGTTTGTGTTTATTAAGGGCTGTTCACAAGTAATGTTATAATTACTACAGGAATTTTAAAACTTTTAAAATTATTGAAAATAAATGGGAACTAATATTTTTTAATTAATACGCTCACGGACGCAAATAATTGATGGAGATGCAATAATAGGCATGCAATTTTATTATTTTTTTCACCCTTCACCACACTGTGGTCTTTGTACATATTGTTACGAATATAACTTTAGATTTAAGTTAATTTAGATGAATTCCGTTAATTTAAGAATTTGAATTGTAACGTAAATTTCTACTACGCAGTTTATTCGAATAACTTCACAACAACAACTACTGTATAGATTTTTCTACATCCTTCCATTTCCTCTTCCATTTTCTATTTTGTTATTGACGTACAATTCTTGTTAAACGTCATCATTGATGATCGCTTAATTCCTCTTTCTTTGTTACTCCCTCGCCTGTATATGTGTTGTTGTTATTATTCACTCAATCTAAGTTTGTATGTGTGTGTTGCATTGGTAGATTCCCAGTAAAAAATATTTGGAGTAATCCTCAACCGAGCAATAGAGGAGTAATGATTTCTTCATCCATTTGGAGTAATAAGCGAGCAATGTATGAATTTTGTTTTGCCAAAAAATTCCACGAAGTTGGAAAAAAATTGATGTCTCGCCTTATGCTCCAAATGGATCAATAAGGGATGCATCAAAGCATTTTTGGCATGTTTTTTTTTGTTTGATGTAACTGTTGTTTAACTGTTGCTTTCGTCATGTTCGATTATTTCTTTATGGTTGTCCGTCCATTTGCTCAGTTTTCTTGTGTCCGTCTGAAGTGAAACACGTGTTGTAAGTGTAAATAAAGTGTAATTAAAAAAATTAAAAAAGTGTAATTAAAAAAATCAATTGGTAAAATAATGTGTGATAATTTTATAAATTATTAATTATAAATTATGTGTAAACAGACAATTTTGTTAGAACAGATCGTTAAACACATACGCCCAACTAGCAAGGATCTCAAAATTTTTCCAATAAATTCACTAGAGGAATTAAATTCGGCAGAACAATTAGTTAATAACGAGCCTGAATCAGAAGTGGTAAGCCAGAGTTTTTAATGCATAATTTAAGTGAATTTGGTACTAAAAGCTAATTATATTTATCTTTAATTATTTTCAGATATCATATATGAAACTAAAATTTGGCAAAGACAAAATAGAAAAGGCGTTACATGCAATGATTGGTGACAATATTTTGCTTCGGGTAAATTGGGATGGAGCTAAAAATAAGACAGCCATAAACAAATATCGGTTGTTTAACTTTTTTTATTTCGGTAATAGCTTGATTTTATAACGTGTTTTAAATAATATGTACATGATGTTTATTTTTCCTTTATTTTTGCAGAATCACTCAGAGACACCTACGAAACTTATCCTGAATTTGAAAAATCTTTTAAGTTGGCCTTTCGCAAATGTAAGGCAACATTTTACCGGCAAACCTACAGCCTAAAATCTAAATAAATAAAGTATTTAATATGTTTTTTTAATTATAAGAAATTATAGTACAAAAATGAATTATTTGTTTTTTTTTCGTTAAAAATAAATGATAAAATATATATTCTTTATTTTACTCTTTTCTTTTACTTCTTTACTTTCTTTTACTCTTTCAGGAGATAACAAAGATTACTCCCTTGATTCTCCTTTCCGAGATCAAAAGGAGTACTCCCTATATGCTTTTTCAGGAGATAACAAAGATTACTCCCTTTGTCCTCCTTTCCGATATGAAAACGAGTACTCCGTCTATGCTCTTTCAGGAGATAACAAAGATTACTCCCTTTGTCCTCCTTTCCGAGATGAAAACGAGTACTCCGTCTGTCATCCAATGGGAGCTCAAAAGGAGTGCTCGCCTCCTAGGACATGCAATGTTAAAAAAGAGTATAAAATGCAAGAGAGTCGGAGATTTAAGGAGTACTCCATTGCTCGAAAAGGAGCGTCCTACGATTAATCGTTGGATGATCCAATTTTTTACTGGGTTGTTCGTAATCCAGATGTTACCAGATCGTCTAGAAACTTCTGTAGCGACAGGCAGGGCTCATATAAATAGGGGAATGGCAAGGCAGTTAGTTGTTGTGAATCAGATCGCGAATTGAAACAGTCAAGTAACGTAAAGCTGTAAAGTAACGTGCAAAGTAAAGTTGTGTCAATAAAGTCATTGTAATAATCGTAATCAGAAAGAACCCGCGTTTTATTTAGTACAAACTGTATTGGGAAATAAAACAACGTCTACACGGGATTAAGTAAAATCCAAGAACGTAACAATTGGTGTCGGAAGTGAGATTACGATAATACTACGATGAAGTTTAAGGATCTACGAGTGGAAGACTTGAAGAAGGAGCTCAATAAATTGGAATTGTCGTCTACTGGCAACAAGGCTGAACTACAAAAACGTCTGTTGGATGAGTTCGAGCGCCGTGGTATGAACATCGATACATATGAGTTTGACAGTAAGGATGAAGTGGATTTATCGGAAATGGGCGAATCCAACGGTGGAGAAGTCTCGTCAGTAGCTGGCAGGGGTGACGATTTCAGAGAAGTGCTGGCTAAAATGTTTGAGGAAAATTCCAGAAGGTTAGAAGAAAACACGAGACGAATGTTCGAAGAGAATTCCAGAAAGTTAGATGAACTCAAGGCAGAGAATTGTAGAATGTTTGACGAAAATTCGAGAATAATGAACGAGAAGCTTGAGAACATTACAGAAGTTATTGGAAGGAGAGTGGAAACCGTGGAGGTCCAAATTAAAGAGTTGGATAAGAAAGTGCAGTCGGTTGACGAGATTATTCTATCTGTGGATGAGAAATTTCTGGCCCACGAACACAGGTTTACGAATCTGGAGAAGAAAATGTCGGAGCTGGAAATCAAAGGTGGTCCGGTGCGAGTTCCTGATAACACACTAAAAATCAAACCTCCTGTATTCGACGGCTCTACGTCATTCAGTGTTTTCAAGTTACAGTTCGAGACAGTGGCTTCTAGAAATTCGTGGAACGACAGCGACAAAGCGGTTGCACTACTTCTGGCATTGAAGGGCAGTGCTGCTGATGTTATACAGAGTATTCCTGTCGCTTCTAGAAACAACTATGAAGATGTTATTGCTGCACTGGAACGTAAGTACGGAGGCGAACATAAACAAAACATCTACCTTATGGAATTAAGGGGAAAAGTACAGAGGGCAAACGAGATGTTACAAGACTTTGCAGCTGAGGTGGAACGTTTGGTGCTAATGGCGTATCCAGGAGAGAATCACCCATTGCTGGACCGTATGAAAATCGAAACCTTTGTGAATGGCATACGTGACCCTGAGATTAAATGTGCAATATATGCGTCACCAAAAGCGTCGTTTGCCGAAACTGTGTCGTTTGCCCTTGCCCAAGAGACGGCAAGAATGATTGTTAAGCCCCAGACCCACATGATTAGCCAACTGGAGACCGAATGTTGCGAACACAAATCTCTCGTTAACTTGATCAAGGACGCCATGAGGCGGGTAATAGAAGAAACAATGTTTGTAGGGATGACTAAGCACAGGGTTAGATGCTACAACTGCGATAAAGCAGGTCATATTGCGCGCGAATGCAGAGCTAAGCGCAAACGATCCAGGTCATCGTCACCACCTCCAACGAAAGATGGTAGAAGAATGGCTCAACAGTCCACCAATGAGTCACCGTTAAACAGAATCGAGCACAGAAAAGGCGGAAAACACGGTAATGCTGATGCCCTGTCTCGTCGGCCATGCAAAGTAGAATGCAGGCACTGCTCAAAGGCTGAGAATAAAGAGAATATCGTTGATGTCCGACTATTGCAGTTTGAGTCGGGTGAAGATTGGTCGACGGAACAACGAAGAGATCCCATTCTGGGTAAAGTAATTTCGGCCATAGAAACGGGCAAGCGACCTAGTCGCGAAGAAATTACCTCCGAAAGCCCTCTTTTAAAATCCTATTGGGCCCAGTGGGACAGTCTGCTTATAAAAGATGGTTACCTATATCGCAAATGGGAAAGTGAGGACGGTAAATCTCACCGGAATTTGATCGTCGTCCCAGACTCCAAAATAAGAGATGTCTTGTCGGAGTTTCACGATGGGCCAAGTGGAGGACATCTTGGCATAGCAAAGACGGCTGAAAAGGTAAAGCAGAGATTCTACTGGGTCGGCTGTCAAAAATCCATTGCCGACTGGATCGCCAATTGTGAAAGGTGCATAAGAGCTAAAGGTCCAACACGGAAGAGTCGAGGCTACATGCAGCAGTATAATTCAGGAGCCCCTTTTGAAAGAATCGCAATGGATGTAGCTGGACCGTTCCCAACAAGCGACTCTGGGAACCGGTATGTCTTAGTGGTCATGGATTACTTCAGTAAATGGCCAGAGGTTTATGCTATCCCAAACCAAGAAGCCAGGACAATTGTGGATGTGTTCAGCAAAAATTGGATTTGTCGCTATGGTGTTCCATCGGAGGTTCATTCCGATCAAGGTAGGAATTTTGAATCAGCGATCTTCAAGGAAATGTGTGACTCCTACGGAATCAAGAAAACCAGAACGACGCCCCTACATCCACAATCAGATGGCATGGTGGAAAGATTCAATCGCACCCTGGAAGAACATCTACGGAAAGTGGTGGACAGTGGCCAACGAGACTGGGATGAGCATATTCCTAAGTTTTTACTGGCTTATAGATCGGCCATTCATGATTCCACATCCCGGACCCCAGCCAAAGTTCTGTTCGGAAATGAATTAAAGATACCTGGCGATTTGATATTCGGTGCTACCCCAAACGACAATGTGAACCAAGATGAAGACAGCCAAAACTCTTTTAGTAAAGTCCACGATGCAGTTCGCCGTCGAATAAAAATGGTTAGCAACCGCATGAAGGCAAGGTACGATCGAGCGGCAAATACCGATGGGTTTCAAGAAGGGCAACTGGTACTATTGTTCAACCCACAACGAAAGAAAGGACTATGCCCCAAATTGCAAACGCACTGGGAAGGACCCTACAAGATTGTCACGAAAATAAATGATGTGGTTTATCGCATCCAGAGGAGCGACAGTCCCAGGTCGAAGATGAAAGTGGTACATCTGGAGCGGCTGACCCCCTACGGAACGGGAATTGTGCCTATTCGGGACGAACAGGCTTAAGCGGGGGGCAATGTTACGAATATAACTTTAGATTTAAGTTAATTTAGATGAATTCCGTTAATTTAAGAATTTGAATTGTAACGTAAATTTCTACTACGCAGTTTATTCGAATAACTTCACAACAACAACTACTGTATAGATTTTTCTACATCCTTCCATTTCCTCTTCCATTTTCTATTTTGTTATTGTCGGACAATTCTTGTTAAACGTCATCATTAATGATCGCTTAATTCCTCTTTCTTTGTTACCCCCTCGCCTGTATATGTGTTGTTGTTATTGTTTACTCAATGTAAGTTTGTATGTGTTGTTGTTATTGTTTACTCAATGTAAGTTTGTATGTGTTTGTTGCATTGGTAGATTGTTCGTAATCTAGGCGTTACCAGATTGTCTAGAAACTTCTGTAGCGACAGGCAAGGGGCATATAAATAGAGGAAATGGAAAGGCAGTGAGTCAGTTGTGAATCAGATCGCGAATTGAAACCGTCGAGTAAAGTAAAGTGCAAAGTAAAGTTGTGTGAATAAAATCATTGTGATAATCGTAATCCGAAAGAACCCGCGTTTTATTTGGTACGAATTGTATCGGGAAATAAAACAACGTCTACACGGGATTAAGCAAAATCCAAGAACGTAACAATATTTTGGTAGCAGGCAAAAGGAAATGAGATAGACACATTGTTCTTTTGGAGAATATGCATAGTAGTACGTTTACATTTAACCAGATTTCGTTAAAGTGGGCCACACACCTCAAACATGTGCGTTCGATCGGTGTGAAGCTCCTAGCCCACACACGTCAAACGGACCCATTAAACTTCATTTCATATTTATTTTTGAAGCGTGAAGATGGACCGCGATAGTGATAACGGAAAAAAGACGAAATATTTTTATTTAATATAAATGTATTAAATACTTTTATCTTATTCCGGGAAAAACATTTTTATTTGCCACACAGCAGAATATGTGTAAAAACATCAAAAATCTTCCAAATACATATGTATTGCATTTGTCAATTCCTTTGCATATATGTCAAATAAATCCTCATAAAGTAGGTTAACCCGCTAAAAAGTTCTAATGTAATGCCGTTTAGAATCACTTTCTGAGTCGATTTATGCATGTCCGTCCGTCCATCTGTCCACGTTAAATTGTAAACATTTATGATCCGATTTGGATGAAATTTGGCACAGCTCATCTGCTTCGCTCAAGGACGAACTCTATTGAAATTGGGAAAAATCGGTTCAGATTTAGCTCCCATATATATTTTCGTCCGATTTAATGTAAATAGTGCACCAAAGTTTCTATATATCTTTCGATTGATTTGCACGAAATTGGGAATAGCGGTCCAAATTTAGATATAGCTCCCATATATATTTTCGTCCGATTTTAAGTCAATGACCCAAAATATGACCGATAGGCATAAAACGTACTGAAATTAGTATAACTTAACATGTAACAAATTTCGTTGCAATCGGTTCAGATTTAGATATAGCCCCCATATATAGTTTCGTCCCATTTTATGTAAATGGAGCATCATACTGCCCACACTTGTCCTATTGAGACAAAATTTTGCACAGAGTATTGAATTAGGCCCAGATGGATGTATGCGAAGTATTTTTGAGTTCGGTTCAGATTTAGATATAGCTCCCATATATAGTTTCGTCCGATTTTATGTAAATGGTACACCAAACTCCTAATATTTTCCCATTGACACAGAATTTTGCTTAGAGTACAGAATTAAACGGCATTTACATTATAACTTTTTACCGGTTTAACCTACTTTATGAGGATTTATTTGACATATACGCAAAGGAATTGACAAACGTACTATTAGGCCCAGATTGATGTATGCTAAATGTTGATGTTTTTTTGAGATCGGTTCAAATTTAGATATAGCTCCAATATATAGTTTCGTCCGATTTTATGTAAATGGAGCACCAAACTCCCAATATTTGTCCGATTGAAACAAAATTTTGCACAGAGTACTATTAGGTCTAGATTGATACATACCAAGTTTTGTTGAAATGGGTTCAGATTTAGATATAGCTCCCATATTTTGTTTCATCCGATTTTATGTAAATGGAGCACCATACTGCCAATATTTGTCCGATTGAGATTGATGTATTTCAAGTTTTGTTGGAATCGGTTCAGATTTATATATAGCTCACATATATACTTTCGTCCGATTTTATGTAAATGGAGCACCAAAGAGCCAAATTTAGGCCGATTGGAACAAAATTTAGCACTGCGTACTGAAGTAGGTCCAAATTTATGTGTGCGAAGTCTGTTTAGGTATAGCTATAGCTCTCATATATAGTTTCCTCCGATTTTTTATAAATGGGGCACCATACTATAGATGTTTGTCCGATTGAGACACAATTTTGCACAGAGTACTGAATTAGGTCTAGATTGATGCATGTCAAGTTTTATATTGTATTTTGTATCGAGATAAATTTTGGATAGCGCAAAGTGGCACCAATCAGTCGGCCCTGTCCGACTTTTAAACTTTCCTTACTGGTTTATATTCGAAATATGATTAAAAGTGTATGTAAGGAAAAAGTTATAAACATTGGGTTTTAACCATGGCATAATTATACGGGGTAGTCTCATGCAGACAAAATTTAAATGAAAATATCCTCCTTCGAAATGTACGCATATCATGTGTTCAGTGGCAAATATTGCTAAATAATTTGTATTTATAAATATTTTGAAGTTACCTGCCCCTAAAACTTATAAATATGAGATGTAATAACCCTGGTTAAATCTTGAGGGTAATGTTCAGCTTAATAGTACGTTTACGGATGTCGTTAATTCCTTTGTATATATGTCAAATAAATCCTCATAAGGTAGGTTAGCCCGGTAAAAAGTTCTGAAATAATTTTATTCAGTAAGATTTTGCAAACTCAGCCATTTTGAGATCAGCTGTTTTATGATCAAACACAAAAATTATTAAAAACAGTTCAATTTTAAGTTAAGTTGTATAAAAATTTCAAAAAATGGAAGAAAATTCGTAAGTAATGCAATGTTTCATTAAATTAGAAACTAATTCCTTATATATTTGTAGGCAAGTTCCAGATAGAGGGCAATGTATTGATGGAGGAAACACAAAAATTATTAACAAAAATGTTCAATTTTAAGTTAAGTTGTATAAAAATTTCAAAAAATTCTGTATGTTGGGTTCTAATAAGGTGCAAATCTTCTAATCAACATAACATCCAAATACAGATTCTGCGTATTTTTCAACCAAAGTAACTGTAGTGGCGCATTTCGGGCTCTCGGTAGATAAAATACTTTTTTGTAGAAAATTTACAATGATCCTTTTTTGACATATCCATTGTCCTAGGGACATTTTCTATTTGAAGTGGATAAAATTGGCATTTTGGTTTCCCGGTTTCTCATTTTCAATATCGGTCCGTTATTAGTGTTTTTCCAAATTTTTAGTATTTTAAAGGCTTTTGCTGCATTACCAACCGATGTTGCTGTACTTAGTGATACCATATTCTTAAATTGATCAGAAAAAAAATTAATACAGGTCCATGTTTTAGCATAGTCCCCATATAGCTGTACGAATTTATGTTCATTATGCAAAAGATCATAACAAAATTTTTCTGCAGACACAGAGGCACAACAAAAATAATCTAATAGAATTAATATTTTTTGGTAGAATATAATTAAAATTTGTATATGAAAACAGAAAGAATGAATAACATCTATGTTGGTGGAGTTGTGGTTTAGTGAGAATAACTTTTTTTACAAAAAAGGATTTTCTCCATCAAATATAATTCTTTATTGCATATTGAATTTGAGTCTCTGTCAGCATTTCGATTACAATATTTCACTTCTTTAAGATACGCCTGTATTTATAGTCGGAATGATCATAAATTTTAAACAACACGAACGTTTCTAGAGTGTTCCGAATTGAGTATAGAATGGTGTGTGTAAAGTTTTGTTGAAATCAGTTCAGATTTGGATGTGTTCCAATGACACTAGGTCCGTCTGATTGCAATAATTTTTTTCTCTGCGTACACATACAACCAAGCATTCCACAATCTCTAGTGATGAACATTAATAAATTATGAATATTGGTATATATAGTGGATTATAATAGTAATCTTAGAAGCACCACCGGCTATACCCGAAGTGATGTATGGTTTAGTTTATTTTGCTCGATGGGGGTCAATAACATTATCAATACACGTCATTGCAGTATAACATAGAGTGTCATTTGATATTAATTCTAGTTCGTTTTAGTATAAGGTATTTTCAATTCAGTTTTCTTTAAATAGTAGAAATATTTCAGTTTGCTAAGTTTGTCTGCTTACTTTCCCAGTAATATTTACTCAATAACTTCTTTTAGGATTAATAGATTCCATTTTCTCAAATAAAGTATCCCAAAAAAGTAAAAAATATAACATTTAGTAAATATTACAATTCGTTGAAAATTGCATGATTTGAAATCAGCTGCTATTTTGATGTTGTTGTTGTAGCAGACCTATTGCTTTTGCACAATGGGCTGAGGTGACAGACGTTGGCCGAGTAAGACTCGGGTCGTTTCGGATCGTGGACCCCTCTTTCGTGGAAACGCTACTTCGATGTACACCCTCATCACTCATCTCATTGTAGATTTTATATTTTATCCTTAGATTGTAGATATACATTTTTTAATAGTAGTTTTCATTTCATATAACAATGCTGTCCCTTATTTCATTCCCTTATTCTATAACGCAAAATAAATTTAAGCTGTTAGATTTTTTGTTGTTGTGTTTTTGTTTCGATCACAATTGTTTTGTGTTGTTAGTTTTTTACTGTTTTTTATTTGGTTTTTCATTCATTTAACTATAACATTTATCGTGAAGATTATTTGCTGGTTGCATATCTTTCCCAGTTTCATATTTTATGACATTTTTGCTAAAGATGTTATTTGTTATATTTCGGGTCTAAGCTTACAGGCTGAAGAATACAGTATTTAGTTTATTCACTTAACCAACGACCAAGGTACCTTCATCGGGGAATACATGAGCGGGTACTTCCAAGTTCAATGGAGCAGGTCCCTTACGGATGCGGCCAGAGGCATCGTAGTGAGAACCGTGGCATGGGCAATAGTAGCCACCGAAGTCACCGGAATTGGCAATGGGTACACAACCCAAATGTGTGCAGACACCAATGACAACCAACCATTCTGGTTTTTGTACACGTTGCTGTAAACAAAAAATAAATTTCGTTTATTCGGAATGTTTTTTATGGTCTATAAAAGTTCTTGACTTACATCATCGGATTGGGGATCACGCAAAGTGGCTGTGGAGACACTGCGTTCAGTGGCGATTTCACTGGCGGTACGGTGACGAATGAACAATGGCTTGCCACGCCATTTGAAGGTAACGGACTTGCCTTCTGGAATATCGGCCAATTTGATTTCAATCTTAGCCATGGCCAGGACATCAGCAGATGCGCTCATGGAGCTAACGAAAGCGGTGACCAAACCCTTGGCGGCATAAGCACTGCCGACAGCACCAGCACCTACCAACATGTAAGAGAAGGCCTTGCGTTCTTCGGCGGTGGTGTTTTTGCGGTTAACATCCTTGACGGAATCACGACGGTAGGGCGAGAAGTCGGGAGCTTGCAAGTCAGTGTGGGCCAAACGAACTTGTTGGACACCTAAGTACAAAATATAACAACAACATTAATTTAAATACATTCTTTGTAAATTATAAAAAAGTAGCAACAGAGCTGAATTTTTCCATTTCCAAATTTCAATGAAAATCATAAAAAGACACTTTTCATAACTTTCAGCTGTTCTCATAACATTCGGGAAGTAACAACAGACGTTTTTGTTGCTCTTTTGCTACTATTTCATAACCTCAAAAAATTACATAATTGGAGAAACAAATGCAAAGTTTCAACAGAAATTCCTTTGGAATTCCAGTAGCCAGACTTTGCATTTGCTTCTCCAGGCATTCTACGGGTGATGTAATTCAGAAATATTCACTTGTGAGGACTGTCGAAGCTCTGGTATTGCCACAAGGAGCCTTCTTTTCCGAATTCTCTGGCACCACAGTTCTCTTACCCTGGACCGCAGTGAGGGCGGCAGGTTTCAAACCATTGGGAACAGCATGAGAGCTGGCACGCAAATAAGCACGCGACACGGCGTTAATCATTTTTCCGTATTCGTTAATAAAGTTTTCTAAAAACAAAACAATAGAAAAACAATGAATTTTATCGTTCCCAACCAGAAATTTGTTCGTTTGACGAGCTTACTTTTCTCCCAACCGTGTAAAAAACTTTTGCCCACTTGACAGCTGACAGTTGAGACAAAAATCGATACTCACACACACACAGAAAGTATATTTTGACATCAACAACAGGGTGTTACGTTAAATACCAAATTGAGCAGCTATGACTATTTTTTGTAGGGACTACTAAATTTATTTTTAATTCCAAAATTAAATTATTTTAATTTTTGTTTTCATATAATAACTATTTATATTATTATAAATGGATTTTTTTCTTCCTAAAACCGACTTTAGAATATTATGAAAATATTGAGATAGTATCTGAGAATTTTCTTTTATACGAACAATTAAAAGTGTATCATTCCGTTTAAGAACGGACATTTTTACTCGATACCCACAAAACTAGTAAAAATTTCACAAATTTCCAGGGAACACAAACGAAAACGGCGTTCTCTTTATAAACATTTGACTCAAGAAATAATAACTATACAAGGTAGTTTCATTTGAGAAATTGAGATTAGCAATCCTTCTTAATATGGAATTTATATATGTATCAATTTCAAAAAAAATGAAAAACAAAAACAAATGTTACCCATGGCTATTGGCAAATTTTCATCAAATTAAAAAAAAAATTTAAAGCTCTACATTGTTTTCAAGATTTAACTAAGTATGTTGGAATTTATATTTATAGTTTTTAGAGATATTGAATTATAAAATGTTAGAAAATATAAATGATTCAAAAAAATTTTGCCACAATTATAAGGTCATGTATCAAAACAAAAACTTTTGTTTTTGTCTCGACCATCTGTCAAAATTTTCCTTATAATATTTCACATGGTTGGCAACATTGAACATCGCATTCAAGTAGAAATTACGCTCTTTGACATTTAATCGAGACATCTGCTGCGCTAAATCGACTACCTATTTATTATACCCTGGTTACAAGCATGGTACAATACAAGGTAGGGCAGCTTGAGGTGAATAACAAAAAAGCAACTATGCACGTGTGGCTTCTTCTGCCAAAAATAAAATAAATATTCGCAACAAGTGTTTGTGTTTATTTGACATTTTTCAACACAACACTAAAAACGCGAAAAATGAATGAAAGGTTATGATTTCTTCCCAAAATCCAGTAGAAAATATCATAAAATGTTTGTTTCATCTATAACAAAGTAATTACTTCCAGAGAACGTGTTAAAAACATCATTTTAGTTTCAATTAAACTTGAATATATTCCCATTTATTTTGAGTTTATTTGACATAATATTCAAAACAATACACATACATACACAAAAATATTTATTTTGATTTGATGGAACAAGCCACCTTGAGAACAAATTGTAATCAGTTGGGAGCTGTGCCCTACCTTGTAATAATTACACCATGGTAACAAGCATGGGACAATTATACAAGGTAGGGTAGCTCTTGTCAGAAAGGAGAAAACACACCTCAACCTTGTGGGCAATAATGTCAGAAGAAATGAAAACAAATGCAACAAGTCGTTCTGTTCATTTGCATAATTTTTACATTTTACCAAAACGCGAAAAATGAATGTTTTCTTTGGGGATTGAGTTGGGGATCCGATTTACATATTGATTCATACACAAATCATACATTTCTTCTTACAAATGTTGTAAAATTAATTTTCAACAAATCGATTTTCGAATATATTTTGTCAAACATTTTGTACATGGCATTGGCATAACAAGCCACAATATGAAAAATTATAATTTATTAATTGCTATAGCCTACCTTGAATAATTGTATCATGTGTAAATGTATGTGAACCGCCAAAACCGCGGTATATCAGATTATAGTCCTTTTTGGAAAAATTATTTAAATTCAATATAATGAATCTTACTATAATTTGAAACAATCTGTAAAAGGTCGTTAATTGAACCGGATTTGGTTAACCCAGTGGTTTTAAATTTTCAATTCCTTTGAATATATGCCAAATAAATCCTCATAAGTAAGTTAACCCGGTAAAAAGTTCCAATGTAAATGCCGTGTAACATGTCAACTTTATATAATTTTTAATTTAGATAAACCCTGATAAATCATAATCAAAAGTTGTATGTAAACGCGCTTTTATAGTTTTTGATTTGACTTTCCAAAACTGTGCCAAATTGTTGTCTTATTTCTTTTGAAATCAATAAAAGTAGTTTCTGCAAGTGTTACAAAAAAATAAATAAAATAAAATGTATGACGTAATAAGATTGCTGTGACATCTATTTTTATTCATAATAACTAAAACAATTTAAGTTGGCAACGCAATTAACAGTATATTTCAATTGGCAACATTACTAAGACATTAAATATTTTCAATAGATGTCGCTTCGAGGGTACCCAGTTGTTATTTATGGTATCGAAAAAATAATGTAGAATAATAAAAATAATGGACTTCTTTAAAAGGACATTAAATCCTGGTATTACTAATCCATATATGATGAAGCATAAATTCCGATTATTTAATAATTGCTTTATTAATTATTTAATAAAATTGTATTTTTCCTTATTTAATAAAATTGTAAAAATATTAAAAAAAATAAACTGTTGAATATGTTTATATGTAATTATGTATAATATGACATTATACTAGTCTAACATTTTTGTTAATTTCGTCAAGTAATTCTACCTCTTGTTATTTTTCCATGGCTGCAACTATCTTAAAAGACGGGATCTGTACGAACACTTTATCTGGTTCAACTCAAATAGGATTTTCTGATTGTGATAATGTGTTCAATTAATTCTCGAACGGAAATCCATATTTTCCATATATTAAGGGAAACAGTTTGGCCCCAGAATAAAGAAATAAGTTAATAGAAATTATTGGAGAATACATCCAGAAGTCTATTGTTGAAAAAGTGCTGTATTATTTTCGGTGTTCTCGGATGAAACTATGGATATTTCCGGAAATGAACAACTATCAATATGTATTATTTTTTAGACCCTCCACCATAAGGTATATTACATTTCTAATTCAATTTGCAACACACCGAAATAATTACTGGCGACCCCACAAAGTATATATATTCTTCATCAATTTAAAATCCTAGGTCGATTTATGCTTGTCCGTCTGTCTATTGAAATGAATGAAACACTATAGAGATTGCAATATTTATGATAGTGCTCTAAAATTATCCACTGATATTGCTGGTATTACAAATGGGATATATCGGTCAACGTTTAGTTGTAGCCCCCGAATATTCGGTAACTGTAACTGTAATTGTCTACCTTTGGTATGTGATCTTCTTGATACCTTTAGTATCCCAAGGAAAATGATCAATACTGATCGATTCTTTAGGGTAACCTCATATAACGAAACCCCATTATTCGGGATTTTAAAGGGGGCGGGGTGGTTGAGATAGACACATTTTCAACAGATTCAGCTGTAATTTAGTATTTTGGATTCACTTTGGCTGTCAGACCTGCCTACGATATATTATCAATATTGGTTTATGTTTCGGGTTTCGGGGTTGTAATTTGTTATATTGGGTTGGGGTGTGGTAATAAATCTTCCTATTAAAAGTTATGAACAGTGTTACCAGTTTAGGGGATTTATCCCCAAATTGGGGATTTTTGTTTGGAAATGGGGATTAGATTTTTGGTTTGGGGATCTGGGGATTTTTAGGGGATTTAATTTTCGATACAATCAATAAACTTGGGAAATCATTTTGAGAATGAATTTTATCTCTAAAAGTATACAAGACACGTCTAAAGTATTTACAATACGAGTTTTTTTTCGAAATTAATGAACAGTTTTCACATATATATGCTTCAATTCCGTTGAAAATGCAAAATTTAGTTTCGTTTTGAAAATTGCAAAGAAAATGTCCCTAAGGCATGGAAAAATGTCGTTTGTGAAATTATTTACAGATTATCGCGCATGTGACATGTTCCGAGAGTTTTTGAATTCCCGTACTTTTTTAAATTCCCATGTTGTGCAAAATGGTGTGCTCAATTTCGAGCGAAAGTGCGGCTCGAAAGCATAGCTGTGTTCAATATGTTACAAAATGTGTTCAATAAAAAAACATATGTTTCATTGGAATTTGCAATTTGCTGGCTTATTAATTGCCCTGGTTTCTACCAGAAAAAGTCTAATGATACTGGGACTTGTAAAATATAAGCATTTATGAATATTTTGAGAGAAGTTGGTCCTTTCATACACAAGGGTACCTTTCCCGAAAGCCTGCAGTTAGCAGCTACCTTAAGATTTCTGGTGGGTTTCAGAGGGTAGTGGCAAATGATTTAAAAATAAGTGTTGATCGCACAACAATGTGTAAAATATTGTGGAGAGTAATGAATGTCCTGGAAGACGAAGTGTGTGCAAGCTGTGTACAGCTGCAGATCAGGATCCAGCCATGATTGCTTTATATATAATAAAGTGCACATATCTGCAAGAAATATTATTAAAAGGACTATTGGAAATCTTAAAAGTAGATTTTTTATAGATTCTATTTTTATTTTGATCATATGGTGGTTGAGTTGCCAGATTGATCTCAAAAATTTTACGCGCTGTGTTTGATAAAAGGAGACCTTTTTTTCTTTAATTTTACAATAAAAACTAATGTAAATACTATATTTTTTTAAATAAATATTGTAAAAACACGTTAAATATTACTTCAGCGTTCTTTTCCAACTTGTGCGTGCTCAGAAAAACACGTACGATCTCATTTCGTTGTCAATCCACAAGGCTATATGTGCTCGAATTATATTCCCAATATTTTTTTGGGAATTCGGAATGGAGCACACTAAATTTGGGGAAATGTTTCAAATTCGAGCAAACTCGAAATGCAGCACATGGGCGTATGTTTCAAGCAGTTTATGTTCTTTTTGGAAGAACATGTATTTATTTCAAGGTGCTGCTTAGACAAAAATGTAGTAGTTTCTTGCAGTACGGGAACATACCATATATATGGAAAATCTTGAACAGAGCTAAATTAAATTCATAGGGGATTTTTTGGGGATTTTTAATTATTTCTGGGGATTTTTGGGGATAACATATCTTCATTTGGGG